GTAGTACGACATCAGAACCGGGAACTGACGTTAGTACAACGCATTAACTGGACCGCACACCACAGACCTTATTCAGTTTTCACCAATTTTTGCATGTGTTTATTTGCGTGTGTATATTCAGGGTTTTGTTTCCTTTTTTTTCGTGGCAGAACCTCCCATATATCCACCCACCCCCTCACACACACACACAATCACATATAAAAGTTCAATCTATAAAACCAACGAGAATGGCTGTTCTGATGACCACCCATCCCTGTCCCAAGCTCCAGCTACTTCTCTTTGAAGCACTTTATCGGAGTTAAGGTTTTGCACTTATTTGCCTGGTGATTTGATTCAAGTTGGTCTTATGAGGCTGTAAACAGCATGATTGCGGGAACTATTATTTTTAATTGCTCACCATTTATCCCCATCTCACATCTAGCATATCAGTGGTTGTGGGACCCAGGTTCCAAGATGGCCCACAGTGATGCTCGCCTCCTGGTATTCATGCCCCTTTTGTATGTTGTCCCTTTCCACACTGAATAGGGACAGGCTGCCAGGTTAATACAGGCTGGATGGTTAAACTTGAATTTCAGATAAAACAAGGAATAAGTTTTTAGTATTTGACAATATTTCATGGGACATAATTATACCACAAACTCACTTGTTTATCTGAAATTCAAATTTAACTGGGCATCCTGTATTTTTACTTGCTAAATCTGACCACCTTAAATAGAGCTGACCAGGCAACCAGCAAGATGTTCGGAAAATGACTGTGTGTGACTTCTGAGATTAGATCATAGACCTTGTGGTTTCAGCCTTGCTCTCTCTTGAGTCACTCACTCTCGGAGGCCAGACACTCTTGTGACGACACTCAGCACCCCTATGCTGAGGTTCACCTGGCAAGGAACTGAGGCCTCCTGTCAATGAACAACCAGCACCAGGCTACCAGCCGTGTGAGCGAAACACCCTGGAAATGGATCATCCGGCCCCGGTCAAGCCTGCAGATGAAGATAGTGCCAGCCAGCATCTTGGCTGCAACCCCAAGAGAGACCCCAAGTCAGAAGCAGCCAGCTAAGCCACTCTTGAATTCCTACCCAAAGAAATGGCGTGAGATTGTGTGCGCTGTCATTTCAAGCTGCTGAGTTACACTGCAATAGACATAATACATAGGAACTCATTAAATATTTGTTAATGGGTGATCGAATGAATGAATGATGAAGGCTGTGGTGACTTATCTCACATGCGTGTTTCTGAGGATGCATGCTTTACAGATAATGCCCCAGGCCTGCAGGACCTCAGTGTTCGCAAATTCTTAAAAGATAAGTAGGGTAGAAGCCATCTGTAAGAAACATTTAAAGGGAAACCAGATTTGCTAATCTCAGCTGATCTGGATTTTCAATTCTGCCAAGTTCAGGATATATTTTTGTGACAGAATTCAAAATAAGAATAAGCCCTGTGCAACTCGATAATGTCACTGTCCTAGAAAAGGTACTTGTGCTAGACTTTAAATATCTCAGCTCTGAAATGCCACTTATGGGTTGTTTCTATGGTACCAACCTATTTAAAGTTATAACTGAGCAAGGATTTTTCCTCCAGATCTTTTGAAGGCAATGTGGAAACAGTGCTGTATGGCATAGGCCGATAAACGAGTGGTGAGGAGTGTGGACTCGGGGGGTCATAGAAACAACCTTGGAAGGTTGAGGAATCTGAGATGATGCATGGTTTGTCTTTGAGACCCTGAACAGATGGAAATCACTCTGTAAGTATTAGCTCAAATAAGTAGACAGAAATGGTGTGGGTGCCCCACGCGTGGTATAGCAGAGAAAGCTCTGATCTGGAAGTCTGACTCCTGGGTTCCAGGCCTGGCTCTGTCTTTAAACTCACTGTGTGGCTGTGGGCACGTCATCTCCTCTGTGAAAAGAGAAGGATGGACTGATGCGTGTCTGAGGGCTCTGCCAGGCTCCTGCGGAGGAGCCTTGTTGCCTGGCAACCCTTTCTGGGAAGGCTCCATGTCTGAGCACCTCATTGGGAATCGAGACACGGACCTGGCTGTCCCCAAGTCCCAAAGCAAGGGTTTTTCTGGGCAGTGACAGGAAACCAGGATGGGTGTGAGATCCTGAATCTAAGCCACCTCTCTCCTTGCTTTTCCTGAGGCTGGATATTAGAGCCCAGAAATCCTGAAAAACCACTGATCTTTGAGGCTGAGAGGCCTCCCAGGCAGAGGCCTGAGATTGGGTCTTTTAAGCAAAAATAGCCACAACCATTTATGAAGCTCTTACTATGCCAGGAACTTGACATGCATTAATTAGCCCCCTTGTTTTTGGTCCTGAAAACAACCCTTTTCGAGCAGTATCGCCATTATTCCCATTTTACAGATGGGAAAACTGAGGTGCAGAGAAGTGAAGCAACCTGCCTCAGGGCCCACATCCAGGAAGCAGCAAAGTGGAGATTTGGGTCCTTGAAGTTTTACTCCAGAACCTTCATCTAAGTTCATAGAGAAGACATGTTTTTCTCTTAATCATTTGAGATTAAGTTGCTTACTGGATGTTCCATCACCCCCAAGACTTTAGTATTTCCAACAAAGACATTCTCCAATGTAACCACAGGACGACCATCAAAATCAGAAAATTAACATGGACACATCACCACCGCGGAAACCTCGCACCCCATTTAAATTTTGCCCTTTGTCCCAATAACTTCCTTTATAGCAAAAAGATCCAGTTCGGAATGATGTGTTGCATTTAGTTATCATGTCTCTTTAGTTTCCTTCAGTCTGGGAACATTTCTAGGGTCTTTCCTTGACTTTCACGATGCTGGCACTTTTGAAGATTACAGGCCAGATTTTTGGAGAATGTCCCTTTATTTGGGACATTCTTTGTCTTACGTATCCTCCTGATTCCATTCAGGCTATGCATCTTTGGTAGGATTATCACAAGAGTGATGCTGTGACCTTCTCAGGGCATCCTGTCACGTGGTACGTGATTTCCATTCCTTCCATTCTTGAGGATGTGCGCTCTGATCACTTGTTCAGAGCCTGCATCTTAATGATGCCGCAACAGTCCACGACTTCTCTTCTCCAGGAGCCACATCGTGGGGTCCATTTGGTGAAGCAAACCCATCCGTCCCTCATGATCAAAGTAACTTCAGCTCCATAAGCTCTGCTGTGAAGCTACAGACATAGCTACCAAGAAGCCAAGCTTACTTCTATTTTTGGCTTTGGGCTATAAACAGAGGCGCATACATTTTCAGGCCCAGACTCAAAACGGTTTATCTCATCTGTTTCTCTCACTCTGCTCCCTAGTGGACCGTTTAGTCTCTTAGACTCTTTTCCTGGCCTTCTCCTGTATTAAAACCTCACTAATTTCTTTCCTAAGTACATACTTTGTGTCAGGCACAGTGACACTACATGTCACTGGGGATAGAGAGACCATTAAGTCACTATCCCCATTCCCAAGAAGCTGACATTTAATTGGCTTCATGTAGGTTCCCATTTAATTAATACCAACCGTGTGAAGTTAGACCTAAATCTTTTGACTCCAAGGCCAGAGCTCCTTGTACATGCCAACAATTGTCTCTTGGATTTTTTCATCCCTCAGAGGAGAGAGAGAAGAGAGAGAACATAAGCAAACAGCTAACACTTCCCAAACACCTACTGGGTACCAGGCAGTTTTAATTGCTTACATACTTTATGTCATTGGATCTTCAACCATTTTGCGGAAGAGAGAATGAGGCTTAGGGAGATGTACTGACTCGCCCAAGGCCCACAGCTGGTAAGTGGCAGAGCGGCGACTGGAACTCCAGAGCCTGTGTGCCCACAGATTCCCCAGGAGGGCCGGTGCTTGCTTTCTTCATTGTATCCCCTGAGCCTAGCACAGTGCAGACACTCAGTACATTTTTATTAGTCAGTGAGTGGACGAATTTATTTACCAAGCAGTCGGAAAGGAAGAGAACGGACAGATTTCCTGGGGGAAATACTTGGGACTTCTAGAGATTCCTCATTCATTTCTTCACTCCCTCAGACTCCTATATAAGGCAATTGCTCTGAGCCCACGATGATGCTTCTACTGAGAGCCCCCAAGATACTGGAGACAGTCCTGAGCTGCATTATTCCCAGCGGAATGCCGTCTTCCGCCCCCTACTGTCTCACCCTACTCCCCACAACCGTCCATGAGCTAGTCCTATATGCCCATTTTACAGATTTAGAATCTCAGGCTGGCAGAGGAGTGTCCTTAGGCCAAGACGGCTCGGTGACGTCCACCAGTCGTTACAGGCTGGGCGTCTCTACGAAGCGGGCGCGGCAGGGAGGCCGACGTGGCTGGGAAGCCAGCCCCCAGGCAGTGGGGACCCTGAACGTCCCCGTCTCCTTTCTAGCACCGCAGCGCGGCCGCCGTAGAGCCAGACCCACTGAAGCCTTCCGTTGCTGCCATGGCAACTAGGGCGCCACTTCTGCCGTCTAGCAACGTCATTTCCGGCGCGCCGGTCTAGACACTTCCGGGGTGCGGCTGCCGGAGCGGCGGACTCCTCGCGCGGAGTGGGATACTGTGTTCCGTACGGGGCCCGGGACAGGCGAGCGGGCCGCGGGGTGGGAGGGGGCTCGGGAGACGCGCGCCGGTGGGAGTCGGGGCGAGGGCTGGGCGAAGGCGGCCTCGGTCTCGCCGTGCGGCTTCCACGGCAGACGGCTCTGCCGAGGCCGCGGGAGGCCGGGCGGCTCGGGGTCGCCGGAAGTCGGGGCCTGGGTCGAGTGGGGAACCGGGCCTCCACCGCGAGGCGTGCACGACAGAGTGGAGACGCCGAGCCGGGGCCTCGGGCCCACCTGGTGTCGAGGCCTGCCCGCGGAGGACCTAGGATAAGCTGTGTAACCTCGCTGGGCTCGTGTTTCTTATCTGAAGCCCATAGGGAAACGCTCATGGGACCTACCTCGTGGAAGTGTCTTGATGAAGCGTCCAGCCAGTGCTGAGCATCTACCGAGGGCTCTCTAACTCGTGAGAACTCTGCAATTACTGCCAGGCCCTGTGCCCAAGGAGGCAGCGGCATTGCTGACATATTGAATGTATTTCCGGGTAGTGCCCCATGCTTGGCACCTCGTGTGTATTGAGTACTCATACATTGAGTACCTGGTAGAGTTGGGATTTGAACTCAGGCTGTGATTTTAGTACCTGATTGTGAAAACCACTTTGCTAGGTTCACTCCGTAATCCAATAATAGTGATGATGCTGATCCTAATCATGAGACTCCAGTAACAGCTGTTGTTCCCTGAGCTCTTATTCTGAGCTAAGTGTTTTCTAAGCACCGTCTCACTGAATCTGTCTTACAGGCATTCTCAAAGGTTGGTATAGTAGTTAGTCCATTTAAGAAAGAGACAGCTGAATCCCATCGCCCACTTAGAGAGAGTTGCCTTCTCTGTCCAATCCGTGGATGTCTGACTGTTGAGGGAGTGTTCATAATTAAGACTGCTTGCCAGCTCATCAGAAGAGTTTTGTGTTTGGAGAGGAAAACTAAGTCTTAGGGTTTCATCATCAAGTAATGTATTTCAGAAAGCATGTTCTAGAATAGCACTCTCCTGGGACTGCCAGGGGTCCAGTGTAACTCTTTCCTGAACAATGGAAAAAGACAATAAAACCTGGGGTCCAGGAAGATGTCCCCCCAATTTCTGAGGCAATAGTATATAAACATAGTTAGTTATTTTTATGTGGTTTGTGTCCATGTGAGCGTGTGTGATGTTTTATGACATTGACTAGGACAAGGGAATCATGCTTCAGAATCACCTAGACTGTTGGGACTAGTCTTTTGTTCTTCCTGTTTTAGTACCGATTGTTTTCTAAAATATGTTTTTAATGTCTGCCTTATTGAGTTGTAACAGTGGTTTTAATGGGCTTTCCGTTTGGAGGGAGTTTTGCAGGCAGCAAGGAGAAGGGACTCACAGGGCACAGACTGCATCTTTTTTATCCCTTCCTTTAGTGACTGGCCATGTCGCTGTCCCACTTGTACCGGGACGGGGAAGGCCGCATGGATGATGACGACGACGAGCGGGAGAACTTCGAGATCACCGACTGGGATCTCCAGAATGAATTCAACCCCAACCGGCAGCGCCACTGGCAGACCAAGGAAGAGGCCACCTACGGAGTGTGGGCAGAGCGAGACTCGGATGAAGAGAGGCCCAGCTTTGGAGGCAAACGGTACTGGCCGGCGTGGGGCCGCTTCCCTTTGCTTTACGGAAGGGAGAGAAGATAGAGAGGGAGTGTGGGGAAATACCCTGCTCAATATACTTCTCTCCTGGCCTTCCGGAGTCCCTGAGCTACGCCCTCAGCTAGGGAGGTCCCGTTTCCTCTGTAGGCTAGACTGTTGCTCCCCCTCGTTAGTTGTCACTTCGTATTTATTGCCTGCTTACGTCTGTTAGACCTTGTGCTGTAGACCCAGTCTTTGCCTTTCAAGAGCCCAGACTCCAGTGGATGGAGACAGGTGTTAATCAACCACTCACACAAGGGAGGTCTGTCACTGTGATTTAGGACCTGCCGGGGAGCACATTTTAGGGTGCTTGCCCTATTTGGGGAACATTTCTCTGGAGAAGCGACCCTTGAGCTGACACGAAAGAAGGTAACCAGGGTGGTAGGAGAGGCGCCGGTAAGCAAAGGCCCTCGGTGGGAGGCAACGGGGTGTCCAGGTATCCATGAGGCTACGGAGTGGAGAGAGGGAGGGGAGCGTAGTTCGAGGAGGCCCGAGGGTCTGTGGTAGGCAGGGTGTGACGTGGGGCGGGCTGCGTCTGGAGAAGACCCTTTGCTGGTGTGCAGAGTTGGCCTGGAGCCACCGTGGAAGAGGGAGCTCTGTGGGGAGGCAGTGATCCCTCAGGGCGGGGAGACCCGGCTGACATGGCGGCAGGGAGATGAGGGTTCAGGCTGCACGTCTCCCCCTCAGTGTGGGGTCACCTGTGCGTGGGCCACAACTCGCTCAGCCAGCGTGTAGCAGGCTTGAGTTTGTCTCCCTGTCCCCATCTGTGCCCTGTAGGCTCCAGCCTACTGTGACGTTGCCTTTTTCACAAAGGAGGCTGGGGAGAAAGAGTATAGAGATCAGTTCAACCCCTTCTCATTCAGGAAGGAAATCTAAAAGTGGATGTTAAATAGATCAGAGGTCGAGAATTGCATAATCATAAGATTATGAGAGCCAGCATCTATTGGCTGCTTTTCTGTTCTGGGTTCTTCACCTGCCTGGTCTCATTTACCATGAGAAAGGTACCATTGTTATGCCATCTTATAGATTAAGAAACTGAGGCCAAAGGTCACATAGCTAGGTTAGGAGCATCTGGGCCTGTCTGACTCGAGTTTGAGCTCTTAACCACTAAGTTACATTGTGTCTTTTAGGGAAAAATACTCTGAATTCTATTGCTGCCAAGGGGATATTTAATTACTAGGTTGGTCATTTTAAAAAAACCTTTCCTTATTTTGCAGTATTCTCAGGGTTTTTCATTGGAATCTTTTCTGTATGTTCCTTTAGCCCCAGTACAAACATACCAGCTTTGTTTACACAAAAGGGAACTGAGGTTAATGACACTGTAAGTGCTGTTCTTGAGGCAGCCAGGACTCAGATCAGTGCTTTCCATCTCATGGAGTTAATTTCTTAGGTATTTTAGTTTAGTTTTCATATTCAAATAAATTCAATGGACATGAACTTTCCTAAGAGTTTGCTTGATATAATTGTTAATGTACTTTCCATTCATATAGTCTCTTCTAATGTATTTTAGTTATGATTTTTATCTATCAGAATTTCTTTGATTTTTTTACCTAAAATAGTGTCCCAAGCAAATGCTTTTTAAAGTTAATGAAAAAATGTAAAAGGAAAGTTGGATTATCACATGATATTTTGAAGTTTTAATCAACTCTGCATTGATATTGATAACTTTTCAACCATAGAGTTGACTTCAGCACAGCAGGTAGGGATGTTAAATGTGACTAAAGGAAGCCAGATGTGGGCCTTTGGATAGAAGTAAATCTGTTGCTCTTTAAAATGGATCCCGGGGTCCACTCTAAGGAATTCTCTGGCGGCAGCGTTTCTACAAGGGATGGCCGCAGCGGAGTTCTTTACAGACCCTCTGGGGTGTCATGGTTTGCCTGCAGGGCCCGTGACTACTCAGCGCCAGTCAACTTCATCAGCGCAGGGCTCAAGAAGGGGGCAGCAGAGGAGGCGGAGCTGGAAGATTCCGATGATGAAGAGAAGCCTGTTAAGCAGGATGACTTTCCTAAGGATTACGGACCCAAGAAGTTAAAAACGGTAACATCTTTATCACACAATTGTGTGGCCCAAGCATCTCCTAGCAAGCTGGGCTCTCGGGCAGAGGCAGTCGTGTGGGTTTCTCCTTGTGGTGGCGGGTTTCTGCGAGTGCGACGTAGGCAGCGCAGTCTCTTTTCTTTCCTAACACACATCACAGGTATATTTTTGGTTCCTATGACATTTTCCTAAATGCTCTGTGACTTGCCAGGCCATTTTCCCATCAGCTAAGCTTGCTTTCGTAGGTTTTTCTTCTCTTTCTTTTTCCATCAGTTAAGCTTTGATTTTTCGTCTTTTCAGGGAGGGAATTTTAAACCCAGCCAGAAAGGCTTTGCTGGCGGAACCAAGTCTTTCATGGATTTTGGCAGCTGGGAGAGACACACAAAAGGAATTGGACACAAGCTTCTCCAGAAGATGGGCTATGTCCCCGGGAGGGGCCTCGGGAAGAATGCTCAAGGTGTGGGGCCCTCGCCCTGTGGTGCACGGGTGGGGGGGCGCGGGCGGAGCGAGGCAGAGCAGTTTGGGGAGGGGTCTGCTTTTCTCTTTCAGAAGTACTTTCACTCCCAGCCGGTCTCCTGTCACCAGACAGTTGTGCTTCTCAGCTCCCTTGCTCTGTCCCACTCATGAAATACTTGTTTCAGCAGGAGGAAAAGGGTTAGGGGCCAAACAGGCTGCAAACTGACAGGCTGAGACAGGCTTCTTTTTGACCTGTGCAGTGTTTGTAAAAAAACTGGATTTGTTGGCAGCGTTTAGAAATCAGCCAGTTTCACTTGAAATTTTAGATTTTGCCTGGCAGTAATTGGTTTCTCTGAATCCTCGCTGCTCTGGGTCAGTGCCCATGGCCTTCTCTTGGGAGCAGGCTCTGCCACTCCGTTGTCGTTCACCACAACCCACTTCACTTGTTGATGTGAATTTTCCTGGGCCCTGAAGGCATATGAGTTTGCAGTCCCTGCTCACAAGGGTTTCAGCTTTGCAAATACAGTTATTTGTCCTTCAGGATTATCAATAAAACTTTTTCTTTTTTTGTGAGGAAGATTGTCCCTGAGCTAACAGCTGTGCCAACTTCCTCCATTTTATGTGGGATGCTGCCACAGCATGGCTTGATGAGCGGTGGGTAGGTCCGTGCCCAGGATCTGAACCTGTGAACCCCGGGCTGCTAAAGCAGAGCATGTGAGCTTAACCCCTACGCCACCAGGCCTGCTCCATGTCTATAGCTTTTTTAATAGCTAGAGACGTGTAGCTGTGAAATTGGCTGAGCAGATCCTGCATTGGTTAGCTCTGTCTTTGCTCAGCAGTGCTGTCTCCTCTTGTCCTCACCCCTGGCCCTGTCAGGACACAGCTCCTCTCACACGTCCTTATCGCCTCGATACCAAAGCCACTCAAACCAAGCGCTTGGATCCCTCCTGCAGGAGCTTCTTTTCCCTCTCCTTGACCTTGCCCCTGAGCAGTCGCCAACTGGATATAAACGATCGTATTCTCTCCAAGTCAGATTCCACTCCCTAAGTAATTGTTAAAGTTAAATGCAGGTTATGTGTTGAAAACATCGGCTGTACAAAAGCCCATGAACTCGAGTGAAGCTCGAATGGTGAGCTGGAATGAGAGTGAGGGGGCCGTTCTAATTTGAGATTTCACCAGGACTAACTGGAAGCGGGTGGGGGTGGGAAGTTTGAGGTGGGAGGGACTCTTCTCTGAAACATCGTTGTCCTGTTTGTAAACTCTTGTGAGAAAAGCATATTTATTTCCAAGGCTTAAACATGTTATTAACCAGGGAGAGGATGTGAACTGCTAAGTAGGATAGCTGGAGTCTCAGGAAATTGCAGCTTCTCCTCACTTCCGTCAGAAGAGAGAGTATCTAAATGACCGCCCTTCCTTATTGGAGGCTTCCAGATGCGCGAAGGGGAGAATCTGGTACGCCAGAGTTCCCAGTTATACACACATTGTTCTCTTTTCTTCTGGTCCACTAAAAGAAAGAGGCCAGGTGGAAATGGAAATCCGTACGTAGGGCATAAATAACCCAATGTCAAAGTGTTCTGTGGCCACAGAAATGCCGGAATTTCCAAATCCCACGGGCCTGAACAGTGTTCTGAGGGCAGGAAGGCTCTCCTTCCTGGGTAGGGCTCTGTGTGTAAGGACCACGGAAGTGACTTCACTGGGGGCTTATCCAGAGACAGGAACTGCTGTGATCTAAAGTCCCTCTTCTCTCCCTTTGCCGGAATTTGTCAGGTATCATCAACCCGATCGAAGCCAAGCAGAGAAAGGGCAAAGGCGCTGTGGGGGCCTACGGCTCCGAGCGCACCCCCCAGGCCCTGCAGGACTTCCCCGTGGTCGACTCAGAGGAGGAGGCCGAGGAGGTAAGCAGGGGTCAGGAGATGGGGGCGGTGGCTGTGCCATTTCAGATCGCTGTTCGCGCGTTTGTTCATTTGCTCATTCATTTGTATCCTGTGAATCTGTGGGTGGTCATTGCACACCTCTGGGCAGGTGCTGTGCTGGAGGCTGGGTGTACCAGGATGAATGGGCTTAGAGCCCGGGGGATAGAGAGACAGAAAACAAGCAGCTACGGTGTGTCAGAGAGAGCAATAAGTACTAGGAAGTGCCCAGAAGGAAATAAGTGGGGGGGGGTGTGGGAGGGAGGGTGGCCTACTTTAATAGATAGGGTGGTCAGGGAAGACCTCTTAGGGAAGGGGACATTGCCGTTGACACCTGGCAGGGGAGAAGGCGCCAGCCGTAGGGCGAGTCAAGAGGCCACTGAGAGAAGCTCCGAGCTTGACGGTGAAGAGACCATAGAGGAAGCGTTGTGGCAGGATGGAAGCCCACCAAGCAGGGAGGGGAAGGAAGTGCACTGAGAGAAGGGCGGGCCACACCCCTGGGCCCTGAAGGCCATGTTGGGGGCTGGGGTCTCATCTGAGTGCAGCAGGGAGCCACCTGCTGTCAGGGGTGTGGCTTTGCTGCCGTGGTAGAGGACCAGCTCTTGGGATGGAAGTACTTTCTTCCCTTTGCATTGACAAGGGAAAGCGGGCAGCTGCAGAGACACGTGTTGCCACCTTGTCACTGACCCTCTCCCTTCCTGAGGAAGGAGACCTTGCGTAAGGTGGCACTGACGGCTCTGAGCCAGGGGCTCGCACACTTAGGAGGCAGCAGGTGCCAGGCTTGCAGCAGAAGTGAGGGGGGGAGCCAGCTGTGGGCAGTGAGGCGCGGCGGGGCCTGAGGCAGGCGGGCGAGGGCAGAGCCCCTGCAAAGGGGCACTCTCTGTTAAGCTCTAGGGGACTGTCCCTGGAGAAGGTGGGCTCAGTGTGGCCTGATCGTCTGATTTTCCCAAAGTAGAAGTCCAGACTTTTTTTGAGAGAAAATTACAAGTTTTAAACCAGTGTGAGATGAACAAAATGACAGGCGGGGAGCCCACTTCTGTGGGCTGCACTCTGCTACCCTCAGACCAGCACTTTCCTCGTTTACTTAGGTCTTCATGCAGAGAAGTTTTGCAAACCCTGATTACAAAAGATATCTGCCTTGAAACTTAGGGGCTTGCTTCTTTACCTCCATTTTAACTTAGAACCAGGGCTTTGTGTACTTAAAAAAATCCTTATGTTGTGTTTCTAAGTTTTACATGAGATAGATTTAAAAGTAGCATAGTGCCTGCCATGGTAGATGCTCAGTAAATGCTGCCTCTCCCTTGTGTTCCCTCCTCAGTCCGCGACCGCGCCTTCTGCACCTGGTTGTTTGTAAGAGGGTGGATGGGGTCAGGGATATCAGGAGATGGTTTTAGTGTCACGCAGGCACAGTCCTTAGCACAGGACTGTGTGCAACTCTAAGACAGCAGCTAGGGCGTGTCTGTGACTGGTCTCAGTGGCCCCACCTGGTGTAAAAAGCGGACCTCTCTCGTTGGAACTGACTGCATCCCTCTGGCTCAGGAGTTTCAGAAGGAGCTGAGCCAGTGGAGGAAAGACCCCAGCGGAAGCAAGAAGAAGCCCAAATACTCTTACAAGACCGTGGAAGAGCTGAAGGCCAAGGGCCGGGTTAGCAAGAAGCTCACCGCCCCCCAGAAGGAGCTTTCTCAGGTCAAGGTACGGGGGCTTCTGGACCCTGGCCCGGGAGGGGGTGTTGGAAAACACACGAAACGTAATCCCGCACCCCAGAGGCCATCACTGAATGTTCTCTAAGGTTCTCAGGGTCCCTTCTGTCTAGGCTTGCTTTCTGTTTTATCTTGCTTTTCTCACTGGGTAGCAGCATGTCCCCATTCACATGTTCACGTGCTCAGTGTGCCAGGTACTCTTCGTGACCCCGTAGTGATAAACAGTGTCCCCCGCTTTCTGGAGCTTACAGTCCGTGAATTTAAGAACATGCCTGTTATAAAAACTCCAGGTGAGCGTGGTTTTTAGTGAGTGCGTAATCCCCGAGGGTGGCCGTGCTGCGACTTGGCCCCGCCTGTTGCCAGCCCTCTTTCTCCTGGTTTGGTTTGGGTTTGTGGCAGGCCAGTTTGTATATTACGCCTTGTCTTTGTTTCAGACGTTTTTAAGGAAGTACAGTCCCCAGGGTAAATGATAGGAAGGCATGAAAGGCTCTTAGGCCTGGGAAGGGCACACTCACACTGACCAGGGCGGCAGGAGAGAGTCCCCGGGGCAGACCCGCAGGGAGCGTCTGCTTTGTTTAGAGATTAGACTTCAGCCCGTTAGGTGCTCTCGAGCCTGAGGTTTTCCGTGACTCTCACACGCAGCCAGAGAACATGGCGACGGCCGGCTGTTGTAGTCCGCTGTAGGAGAGTGTGTCACAGAGCTCACTGTGGAGCGGGGCTCTCAGACGTCAGGGCTTGGTGCTGAGATCACCTGGCGGGGTGGGGGGTGCTGGTAAGAATGCGGGTGTCCAGGCCCCAGCCAGACTTCCGAGTCGGTCGAGGCTGGGCCCGAGGACTCCATGCTGGTTCTCCCAGGTGAGTCTAGTGATGGGGTTCCTGGATCCCACTCTTATCTGAAGCGATGACACAAAAGTCTGTTTCAGAGCTTAGTTCCATATTCTCATTCCCTCACTTTTCTTAAAATGTTGGAATTAGCTCATTTCCTAGGTTGTCTTTGTCCAGCAACTGGTTTTTTTTATGTTTCATTTTGTTTTTAAATTAAAAAACCATTATTACAGAGCACTGAGTCATACATTTTAGAAGATTAGGAAATACAGAGGCAGAAACATTAAAACTATTATTTTCTTTCCTTCCCAAAGACTAGCAGTTTTCACACCTTGAAGTACATCCTTCCAGCTTTTTCTTTGCCTAAATATGCGTGGTTTTTACTGAAATGTGGTATTTTGATTGTATAGGTAGTTTATTACCTGCTTTGATTGGTACGGCCTCTGCTTTTCCATGAAAATAGATTTTCCTCTCAGCTAAACAGCCTGTATTCGAATTTCATCAGCCTTCCTGACAGGGCTCCTCCGTGTGGCTTGTCCAGAGGGATCCTGTCTAGGGCTGCCCGGTGCCCTGATCATTTGTCCTTGAGTGCCCTCTGGGCTAGCGCAGCATGGACCCCACTTTGAGAGACTGCCCTCTCTAGTTCTGCTGGACGGGGTGCTTCTCACACATCGCCACCAGCACCCAGCCGTCCCCGGCCTTGGCCGTTTGTTGCTGAGGGCAGCTGTGTGAGCGCTAACCCGCGTGCCCCCTGCCGCCTTCTCCCAGGTCATAGACATGACGGGCCGCGAGCAGAAGGTGTACTACAGCTACAGCCAGATCAGCCACAAGCACAGCGTCCCCGACGACGGGCTGCCGCTGCAGTCGCCGCAGCCACCGCAGCCCGGCAAGGAGGCCAAGGCCCCGGGCTTCGCGCTGCCCGAGCTGGAGCACAACCTGCAGCTGCTCATCGACCTCACGGAGCAGGAGATCATCCAGAACGACCGGCAGCTGCAGTACGAGCGGGACATGGTGGTGAACCTCTCCCACGAGCTGGAGAAGATGTCGGAGGTCCTGGACCACGAGGAGCGGCTCATCTCCAACCTCAGCAAGGTCCTGGAGATGGTGGAGGAGTGCGAGCGGCGTATGCAGCCCAACTGCAGCGACCCCCTCACCCTGGACGAGTGCGCCCGCGTCTTTGAGACCCTGCAGGACAAGTACTACGAGGAGTACCGCATGTCCGACCGCGTGGACCTCGCCGTGGCCATCGTCTACCCACTCATGAAGGAGTACTTCAAGGAGTGGGACCCCCTCAAAGTGAGTTGTTGGGGAAACGAGCCTCTGGTTTGGGCCGTGCCTTGGCTCTAAGTGATGGTCCAGAGGGCAGGAGGGCCGTTGCCCCGCGGCCTCTCAGCAGCTCTGCTTCTCCTCAGGACTGTACTTACGGCACCGAGATCATCTCCAAGTGGAAGAGCCTCCTGGAGAATGACCAGCTCCTGTCGCACGGCGGGCAGGACCTCTCGGCGGACGCCTTTCACAGGTGCTCGGCGCGGGGCAGGGTACTGGGGGGGAAGGTAGGGGACTCGCCTTTCATGGCGCTCTGCTACAGGCTGACACTGCTCTAGGCTTTCAGTCCATGTGTTCATTCACCAGACGCTTGTCAGGTGTCTGTGGAGTGTGGTGCATGTGCCGGGTGCTGGGCTTGTCCTGGGAGAGAAGCAGGCAGCCTCTGTCTACAGTAAGTGGAAAGGCACATAGGAGGGAAAGGAGGAGGAAGCGGACACACAAACCCAGGGTGCAGACTGGGCGGGGCCAGAGGATAACAAGGACGCGCATCTGTCTAATGGAGCGGAGCTGTCAGAGGAGGTGGCGTTCAAGCTGTGACCCATGAGAGGCGTTGGCTGTGCAGAGGGAACTCTAGCCGGGAAAGCATGCAATGCCTGGGGAGGGGGCCCTTGTGCTGGGGACCGTGAGCATGTGTGGCTCGTGGGAACCCTGCCAGGCAGGCGGGTACAGGTGCAGTCAGGCCAGTGGGTACTTGGGTGACTTGGAGACCAATCCGTGCAGCAGCCCCCTGCCCTCTGCTTTCTCTCACAGGCTCATTTGGGAAGTCTGGATGCCTTTCGTTCGAAACATTGTCACCCAGTGGCAACCAAGGAACTGTGACCCAATGGTGGACTTTTTGGATAGCTGGGTGCACATTATCCCCGTGTGGATCCTAGATAACATCCTGGACCAGCTCATCTTCCCCAAGCTGCAGAAGGAGGTAGGGCCCAGCGTTGGGGCAACAGCTGTCATCAGTAACCTTGGGGGCTTGTTCAGCACTTCTCTTCATGGACTCAGTGCTGTTAAAACACCTGCAGCTGACAATTTGTCAACACAGGTACTGTCCTGTAACGTTAACTCCAGCCTTTTCTCAGCATTTTCCCCCCAAAGCTTCCCTTAATAGGGAGTTCATTTTCTTGCTTTCTTTAATAAAATTAGAATTGTGCCATTTCTGAGATTTAACACAATTTCATGGGTATGTTTGTTGGTCAGTGTCTCTGTTTTGGGGAAATGTAGTGCAAAATGCCTACAGAGCACTGTGGCAGCCTCTTTGTACTAAGGTGTCTCCCACACCTGTGCCAAGGAAGTGGACCTTGGCCAAGAGAGCATGTGGCCTCCACACCTTTCACTGCACAGGGTGTCGTGACCACCCCACTCCTCCTGCAGGTGGAGAACTGGAACCCACTGACGGACACGGTCCCCATCCACTCCTGGATCCACCCGTGGCTGCCCCTCATGCAGGCGCGCCTGGAGCCACTCTACTCCCCCATCCGCAGCAAGCTGTCCAGCGCCCTGCAGAAGTGGCACCCCAGCGACTCCTCGGCCAAGCTCATCCTGCAGCCCTGGAAGGAGGTCTTCACACCCGGCTCCTGGGAAGCATTCATGGTCAAGAACATAGTGCCCAAGCTGGGTGAGGCAACGGGAAACGCATCCAAGGCCAGCAGCTTCCGTGCCCTGGTTTCCATGGCCAGCGGTAGTGATCACGCTGCTTAAAACACGGTCTTTGAGCTCTCAGCAGCTCACCACACAGTAATTCTCACAGTGAACGAGGTTCCAGTTTGTGCACTGAGGCTGCACATAAACATAACCAGGGTCCTTTCTGTGCTTGCTCATGGCGGTGACCAACAGGCCACGGTGACGGTCAGACTCAGTGTCATCGTGCCTCTGGTTCCTAGTTGGTCTGGTTGTGCTTCCGGGAACAGGATAGCCATTGGTGTTCTGAAATTTCTGATAGTTGATTCTAAGTATATATAAGAGTTATTTCTGGGTTAGAGAAAAAACCAGTTTTTAAGAATTACTACGTCAAAAGCTTGAAATTGACCTTTGAGGCAGATCAGACAGACAGGGTCTGGGGCCGCCTCGGCTCCGTGTGCGCCCGTGGCTCTGCTCTAGAGGCTGCCTTTCTCTTCCAGGGATGTGTCTTGGGGAGCTGGTCATCAACCCCCACCAGCAGCACATGGACGCCTTTTACTGGGTCATCGACTGGGAAGGGATGATCTCCGTCTCCAGCCTCGTGGGCCTTCTGGAAAAGCACTTCTTCCCCAAGTGGCTTCAGGTACACTTGGTTTTGCTGGGGATGGGAGAACTCACTTAATCTTTTGCTAAGATCTGACTGCAGGTGCTCAGTCCTTGGATAAGTGGCAGACGACAGTGCTTTATGTAACAAATAAATTACAGGCTAGGGTAGGAATATGTTAAGCAGTAACAGCAACTACCATTCTGTGAAGTTCCCGCCACATGCTGGATGCTGATGTAAAGCACTTATATTTGCGTTATCTCCACTCTTCAGCACAACCCTGAGGGTAGGGACTGTGGGATCCCTGTTGTGTAGGCAGGAGGCCAAGGCTTGGAGTGTTTACGTGCACCGGCACTTAGCTACCGAGCTGACTCTGAATTCCCGACTCTTAAGTGCCAGACTGTTGAGCCCCCATAATCCCCTACAAGTGGCACCAGCTTATAGGACCAGGACCAAAACAAGACAGCCCCTTTGGGAGTTCTGCTCTCATTTGTTGCCGCCGTGCATGCAAGTTTCTGATTTATTCCTTTTCGGCAGGTGCTGTGCTCCTGGCTCAGTAACAGCCCCAATTATGAGGAGATCACCAAGTGGTACCTGGGTTGGAAGTCCATGTTCTCAGACCAAGTGCTGGCACACCCGTCCGTCAAGGACAAATTTAACGAAGCACTTGACATCATGAACAGGGCCGTGTCCTCCAATGTGGGTGAGTGGATGTCCTGGCCCTGAGCCGCACGTTTCTGAACACGTAAATGACACAGAGCCAGAGCGCTCAGGACCTGTGGGCTGCCCATGGTGCGGCTCCCCTCCGCTCCAGCAGACGCTGACTCGCCCACTGGGGTCAGCTGCGTAAGTAGCTGGCACCTGTCGCCCAGCCCTCCTGTGACTGGGAGGGGCATTTCTGCTGAATGGTCCCACTGAAGCTGGACTCGCACTCTGTGGGGCTGCCCCAGGGCCCACCCCGATAGCCACGGTGCTGTGGGGCTGTCAGGGTTCATTGTGCGGCTGCTCGGCCAGTGTGAGTGTGCCCCTCAAGTGTGACAGCTCACAGCGTGGAGGGGGTGGACAGTTCGATGCTTCGTAGGTGCTTAGCCACTCTTAGCCCCATTTTCTTTACCTGTAAGCAGCAATAGAACCTACTTCTGGGTCCTCTTAAAAGACCCAGAGGGATTAAGCAAGTTACTGTTTGTGTGCATGTAGCACTCTCTAGGGGGTGTCTTTGTCGTGTCAGAAGTAGGCTGTGGACTGTTCACTAATATCTGTGCCCAAAACCACTCAGTTGTAGGTACATTACGGCCTAGATCAGGGGTTTTGGGAGCCTGCTCAGCTAGTCCTGTGTTGCAGTGTGCTCACCTCTCAGAGCAAGGGCCACTGGAGGCCCTTGTCTAACCTTGTTTCACAGATGAGCTCAACAAGGCCAGGAACTCGTTCAAGGCCACAGAGCTGAGGAGCGGCGGCTGGGACTGTATTTCTACTTCCTGAGCCTCTAACTCTCTGCTCAACCTATTACATGGACACAGAGTTAGAATTCATGGATTACATAATTATATACTGTTTGAGGCAAGCAGACTTCTATGGCCACCTATCCAGGTCCTTCAAGGACATCAGTAGGCCATGTCCGTTTTCATACTCTAGAAACTTCCTCAGCCGCCCTGGCCCTGGCCCCAGCTCCTGGAACTGTTGCCCTCGGTTAGACTGGGCATTTGTGGTCCTATGTTATCCTTCAGCGTCTGTGTTTCAGCTCCCTAGACTGATTTGCAATTCTTCCAGGGCCAGGGGCCTGTGTGGCTAAGTGAAGAATCTATTTAGGACAGGCCATATGTTTGCAAGGTTCTAAAAGCCGCCTTTGGCCAAGTGGAATGAAACTCCACCAACCAAGACAGGAGCAGACGAGTGGCTGATGACTGTTGGGGTTTCCAGCCCTGAAAGGCTAAGTCCCTTGCGGATGTTTCATTTCATGTTGAATATATAATTATTTCTCTGGCTACTAGGTGTTAGCCATAAATCTTCAGATCCCCCTTTTTTTTTTTGGCTGAGGAAGATTCATCCCGAGCTAACGTCCGTGGCAACCTTCCTGTTTTCTAGTATGTGGGCCGCCAGCACAGCATGGGCACTAACTGAGCAGTGTAGTTCCCTAAACTTCCCCCAGTGGTGCACCATCACCTGTTTAGTGCTTTGTGTCCTTGAGGTGCAGCTGCACTGGAGCGAGTCACAAGCAGGTATTAAAGAGGTGGCACCTGTGGGAGCGCCTCTCCTCACTCCCTCCCTCTGTATCTCCCAGGGGCCTACATGCAGCCCGGAGCGCGGGAGAACATTGCCTACCTCACCCACACGGAGCGGAGGAAGGACTTCCAGTATGAGGCCATGCAGGAGCGACGGGAGGCTGAGAACATGGCCCAGAGGGGCATTGGCGTGGCCGCCAGCTCCGTGCCCATGAACTTTAAGGACCTCATTGAGACCAAGGCCGAGGAGCACAACATCGTCTTCATGCCCGTCATCGGGAAGCGGCACGAAGGGAAGCAGCTCTACACCTTCGGCCGCATCGTCATCTACATCGACCGGGGAGTGGTCTTCGTCCAGGGCGAGAAGACCTGGGTGCCCACCTCCCTGCAGAGCCTGATTGACATGGCCAAGTAGAGGGCGGCCAGCGGAGCACACCCCAGAGGGACATGTTTATGAATAAACGAGATTTTAAACCACCTTGCAGAGTAACGTCTCTATTCAGGAGATACTCCCTAGCGGGCCAGGTCACCAAGGAAGGATGTAACACATGAGAAGGCGACTTATATACTGCGTCCTGCTGCAGCGAACCCTCCTCTAAGCAGGAAGCCACGGAATGTGCCCTCTGCAGACAGGCGTGCCCTGCAGCCCCTCCGCGGCACCCCTCCCGTTAGTCTCGGGGCCGCTGCCTCAGCCAGCACCAAACCCGTTACAGCGAGCTCAGGTCAGCAGCTGAAGCTTCTTGTGTCCCGTTCCTGATGATTTCCAGGTCCTCACAGTCCTGATAATCGGGTTCGTCCCGAAACGCCCACGTGTCCGTGGAGAGTTGTTTGAGCTTCTGTACAGGGAACCACTGGACAGAGGTATCGTTAAATATGTCCATGTACTGGGACGTCTGAGGAAATTCAAGCTCCTCCAGTCCTTTTAAAATCTGAGCAGAAAAATTCAAAGGTAAAACGTAAAAACCTGATAGTCACAGTAAAGCCCACTCTCCTGGTGATATTTCCATTTTACTGGTACCCCCACCCCCGTTACCCTTTTTAAAAAGTAAGGAATAGGATATTTTAAGTGTTTCTGTGCAATGAATTGGAAGCCCCAAGGGCAGTGGATACATTGGACTATGATACTGAGAATAAAGGAAATTAGGGGTAAAAAAGGGAGAGATGTGCTAAAATGTCATAGCTTTCTGGGACACAGACCCATGGAGAGAGCCCACTGCCAGTGCAGTAACTTCGCTGTGCCTTCCGTTAGCCCCCCCGAGCTCCCTCCTCCACGCAGGCAGGACTCCACCTGGCAATGGAGAGAGTGTGGTTTCACCCCCTTCCATCCCAGCCCCTTCATCAGATAGATACCTTCGCAACGTAGGGGTAATTTTTCTGTAGAATCCTTGTCAACAACCTAGGAATAAAAATTTTAAAAAGATGTGATTAGGAGGTCATTTATGAGTGGTTTTATTCAACTGAAGACAGACAGGCAATATGATTTAAATAAACCAAGAATTTCTGTTGAACGTGGGATGTAGAGCAGGCTAAATAATCACTCCAAAATGTGAATGCCCAAGGTACTGCCATTTCACTGAGAGAAAGGTGACGGCAGACCCCCAGGCATCGTGAAACAGGAGGAGGAATGAAGAGAAGTCAAGTGGTTTTTCCCATTTTTTAAAAACATTTCTGTCCGTGACAAGGGAAGGGACGAATTACTGGCAAAAGACTCCTTAACTCGCTTCACAGCTTGACTCAGGTTGCCATCTTCCATCGAAGCTTCTGTCCGAACGTTTTCTGCGTGTGGTCAGGCTGAGGAGCGGGCTTCCCGCAGGGGCCAACAGCATCCCGGCGCTCGCAGGCTTACCTCTCCTCCAGGCCTCTGAAGCTGTTCCCAATGATGACCAGCCTGGACAGCGCCTCGACCGACCAGTTGCTCCATAAGAGGTTGTTGTACAGGGCCGTCCCACAGTGCAGCATGTAAAAGATGGTGGGCTCACCACCAACGTTCCGTTTTCCTTCCTGGGGGCACAGTATGCAACGATGTAACACTCACACTTCCTCCAACAGGTGAGGACAGATGAACAATGAGCTGAGAGTTCTCCCACCACACACAGACACACACGCACACAAAACCCTTACTGTGGTTATCATTTCACAGTATCAAATCACATTGTACACCTTAAACTTACAAAGTATTACGTGTCAGTTATATCTTAGCTGGAAAAAAAATAATGAGCTGAGAGGAAGGCAAGTTGAAGTATCACATGTAAAAAAACAACGCTGCATTGTAGAGGTGTTACATTAGTCGTGCATATGAAATCTATAAAGCATATGGGACTAAAAGTCGGGAAATCATGATGTCCAGGAAGAAATCATGTTTACTTAACAATGTGTCCCACAAACAGAAAACTCTGGATTAACAAAGTGGCTTCTTGGCTCTGTGACAGCGAGGGCAGGAAGGAAGGCAATGGTTACTGCCCCCCACGTACTGTGTTTGGCAATCCTCCATGCCTCCTGTCACTTTGCAGATCTGTATCACGACTGAGTCCATTTCAAATGTCCCCTGGGAGGCCAACCGCCCCCTCTTGAGAACCACTGCTCCACAGCCGAACTCCTTGGCAGGGAACACAGGGCCCCTCCCCTGGCTGTCAGGGCCCTCCCCTGGCTGTCAGGCCCCTGGCTATGCCTCGGCTCCCCCTCTCTCTCCTCCTCCCTGCAGCTTCCCTTCTATTGATAACAAACTGGCGACGGTGGCTCAACACCCGGCTGTGCACAGGCCACCTGCAGTTCTGGTCCTGTCCCTCTGGCAAACTCCTGGCAGACTTCAAACCCAGCTCAGCCTCAGGAAGCCTTCCTGCATCCCCCACACAGCACACACTTCCTTCCCGTCGCAGTTCCCAGGCTGTGGTCCTACCTCGCTGTTCCATCCACCGTGTACTTGGTTACAGGCCACATGCCTTGATGGGACCGGCTCCCATTCATCTCGGCCTCCCCAAAGCCTCCTGCCTAGCTTTCTTTTCTAGCAGGCTCTCAGAAAAGCTCATCTGAACTGAACGGCAGTAGGCGTTTGCCAGTATTGGCGAATGAGTCTCTTCTCTCAGCTGGGCCTAGTTTTCATGTTTCATAATAAGCAGTGAGATGGCAGTTTCAGAACAGAGAGGAATCAAATGACTATTCTATAATCCCCAAGACAACACAAGACTAAATTCAGAGGTATTTGCCTACACGGGCTGCAGCCCTCTGCTTGTGAAATGAATTTCATTTTTCCAGGGGTCTCAGGAAATTTCGAAACCCAACTATTGTAGGGGACGCAGGGGTGGGCAGAGGATTTAGCCACGACTCACAGCCAGGTGCTGTGGGTGTGACGGGGCTACAGCTCCAAAGGGAGATGATCCGTCCCTTTTACTGCCTCCCCTGGGACAGGGGAAGTTCCTACCAGAGGCGCGGAGGCTGTGTGCCCTTTTTAACACCAGCAGTAAATGCCAACTTAGTATAATTTCTGGACACGGAATTCTCCCAAGAATTTTGCAGACCTAACAAGTCAGGTTCATGCCATTTATGTAATTTACTTTTTTTCTGATAAATTTGGCAACATAAGCCAAAATGTGGGTAACCGGTCACAGATTACAGGCACTGGGAAAGCAAGCAGTGCCCAGGAATGACTGCCACTTCAAAGAGCACGTGTCCGCGGGCCAGGCCCGAGGTCAGCGAGGTCCACACTCGCACCGCCCTCCTGCTGCCCCTCCTGACCCACTCGCCTCGTTCTCACTGAGGACAGTCACGCCAAGGCTCTGAAGGACTGCAGTTTCGAGTGGGCTGAACAGAGGGTCATACACCCGGCAGTGACTTCTCGGGATCTGCAGAAGGGAGGAACGAGCTGTTTGTTTGAACCCCAACATCCGTGTGCAGACCCTGTGCAGGACCGGGGGACGGGCTGAGAAAGACGAATCCAAACTCACGTGGCATTTCTCCAGGAAGAGGAGCAGAAACGTTAGCTGGATTCTGGCTATGATGCAGGTGGCAAAGTTCCCAATGCCGTAACACACGCACTTCCAATGGCAGCTTCCTGTGGCCAGGGTGTCTCCTGGGATGGAGCCTGTGGCCACAGCTGACTCACCCGGTGATGAGCCAAGATGCAGGTTTCCCAGGGCTTCTGAAAGACTCCCCACAGGGGCCTTCAGCTGTTCTAGATGCTTCGTAAGACATCTGTTGATGGTGTCTGAAAGAGCAGGCCCCTCGATACAGTCAGAGGGCATGCTCTGACCCTGCGATCCAAATTACCCACAACAGTGGCCCACAGGCCAGGGAGAAAAGGAGCAAGGCGGTACAGGCTCAGCTCCTCAGAGGGGTGCTGGCCTCACTCCCAAACATGCCTGGCACACGCAGCCGCACCCACCGAAACGGACAGGCTGTCCCTACCCACGGCCTACAACCCAAGAGAATACTTCAAGCAAAAACCAGGTTTCATTTACAGGCAGTTCCCATCTAAAGCTCTAATGTGAACTCATTCTAACTTAACAGGAGGCACCTCGTCAATGCAGGTTAAGCTCTGAACTACCCACCTTTTCGATTATAACAAAGAATAGAGCAGCAGAGCTCTCAAAATCATACGACAAATGGCTGGGAGGAGGAATATTTAACATGTAAAAAGTTCAAAGAAAAAAAGGTAGGCTGGGGCTTCTAGAGCCTAATGAAAAATAAAGTTTAAATCTTCTCATGTAGCAGGGGGTTCTCTTGTCTCTCCTTTTAGTAACTAGTCCTGAATTTAGTTGAACACATCTGTACACAAAACAAAACAAAAAGCCAGACATTCTCACAACATGTGAGTTTTCACTTATTAGCAAAGACATCTTTAACTAAGACCCCAGGCTAGGAAAGGTTGCATGAAAAGCTGCCCCTTGTAGTCCTTGCTGGTAAAACAATTGGTAAAAGCTTTTTGGAAAACAACTTGACAACGGATATCAAGTTGGTCACTGCCTTTCACTTAACAAGCCCACTTCCGGAATATATCCTAAGATCAACCTAAATCTGTAAAAGCTTTATTCATAAAGGTGCTCATCGCAAAGCTATGTATAATAACTAAAAAACAAAGAAAGAAAGGAAACTAAATGTCCCTCAGTAAAAACTGTAAGTATGCTATGTTCACTCCATGTGTTAATACTTGTTGCCACACATATTGTTTAGGAAGATTATAACTGCCCGGGGTTGGGGAGAGGGTCTACATTGTAATGTCAAGGAAAAAGGTCAGGATAAATACAAATGTCAACAATAAGGATGACGACAGCTAACACTTACTGCCCCCTGTGCAGCAGGCAAGCCCTCATCGAAGCATTTAACTAAACGGCCTCATTTAATACTCAATTACACCACAGGATAGACACAGTATCATCTCCATTTCACAGATAAAGAAACTGAGGGTCAGAGCTGGCTAAGGGCCAAAAGACACACAGCTGTGAGGGGAGGTCAGCATTAGCACCGAGCACGTACAGCAAAGTG